TCGGTTGTGGTGTTTGAAGCCAATTTGGTGGATAACCCGAGGGAGTGGTACATCGATACTGGTTCCACTCGTCATGTGTGTTCCGGCAAGGAGGTGCTCTCTGAATACACTCCTGCTACGGGTCGGAAACTTCACATGGGAAACTCCTCCACGTCTGATGTGGCTGGAGCGGGCATGGTGGTGCTGAAGCTCACTTCTGGAAGGGAGTTGAAGTTGAAGGATGTTCTGCATGTCCCAGACATCCGCAAGAATTTGGTCTCCGGATCTCTTCTTGTTGAGCATGGATTTAGGCTAGTGTATGAAGTTAAGAAGTTTATACTTAGCAAATATGGAAAATTCCTTGGTCGTGGTTATCTCGACAAGGGATTGTTCAAAATGAATGTCATGGCCGTGAGCCGTGTAACCGTTGATAATAAAAAGCCTATTTCTGTTTATACTGTTGAGTGCTCTGATTTATGGCATATTAGATTGGGACATGTAAATCTAAATGCAATTAAATGTTTGATGAAATTAGAATTAATTCCTAATTCTAAAGTTGAGACAAATACAAAATGTGAAATTTGTATTGAAGCAAAAATGGCTAAGTTGCCTTTTCACTCGGTGGAAAGAAGTACTGAACCATTAGGCTTAATTCATACTGATGTATGTGATATGAAAAGTGTGCAAACAAGAATCGGTAAAAAGTATTTTGTAACTTTTATCGATGATTGCACAAGGTTTTGCTACTTATATTTGTTAAGAAGCAAAGATGAGGCTGTGGAAGCGGTTAAGATATATAAGACCGAAGTTGAAAATCAACTCGACAAAAGGATTAAAATAATCTAAAGTGATAGGGGTGGGGAGTATGTAGCTCCTTTTGAACAAATATGTTTTGAATATGACATAATTCATCAAACGACGACCCTTATTCTCCACAGTCGAACGGTGTTGCTGAACGCAAAAACCGAACTTTAAAAGAAATGATGAATGCCATGTTGATTAATTTAGGATTGCCACAAAACATGTGAGGGGAAACAGTTTTGACAGCAAATCATATCCTGAATAAAATACCACCTAAAGGGAAAGATGAGACTCCTTACGAAATGTGGAAAAATCGTAAGTCGTCTTATAGATACCTGAAAGTGTGGGGGTGTTTGGCTAAGGTTTCAGTACCTGAACCAAAACAAATGAGAATCGGGCCAAAGACGGTCGATTGTGTATTTATTGGATATGCGTACAATAGTACAACATAGAGATTTCTGGTTCATAAATCATAAAATCCAGAGGTATCTGTTGGTACCAAGATTGAGTCAAGGAATGCTATATTCTTTGAGAATGTTTTTCCTATGAAGAAAATGGCAGAATCTTGTTCTAATAAAAGAACGTATGAAACTGCTAGTGGTTCTGTACCAGAGGGTACTAATGAAGAACCGAGACGTAATAAAAAGGTAAAAACGGCTAAAATGTTTGGACCTGATTTTATTACGTATATGTTGGACGATGAACCGAGTTCCCTTAAGGAAGCTCTGTCTAGCCCAGATGGACCACTCTGGGAAGAAGCTGTAAATAGCGAAATTGAGTCCATTATGCAAAATCATACTTGAGAGTTGGTTGATATCCCTGATAATTGTAAACCTTTAGGATGCAAGTGGATCCTAAAGAAGAAATATAAAGCTGATGGATCGATTGACAAGTTTAAAGCACGTTTGGTGGTCAAAAGCTTTAAACAAAAGGAAGGGTATGATTTTTTTGATACCTATTCACCTGTTACGCATTTAACATCGATAAGAATGCTTCTCTCGATTTTTGCTGTGCACAATCTTGAGATTCACCAAATGGATGTCAAAACGGCATTTTTGAATGATGAATTGGAAGAAAAAATATACATGGAACAACCTGAACGGTTTGTTGCACTTGGACAAGAGAGAAAGGTGTGTAGATTGATCAAATCCTTGTACGGACTAAACAAGCTCCGAAACAATGACATTTGAAATTTGATGACGTGATGTTGACAGATGATTTCAAAATCAACGAATGTGATAAATGTGTTTATGTCAAGAGTACATCAAATACATTTTTGATTATATGTCTATATGTAGACGATATGTTGATAATGGAGAGTAGCCATGAAGTGATCATGGATACAAAAAGAATGTTGAAAAGAAATTTCGACATGAAAGATATGGGTTTGGCTGATGTTATTCTTAGAATAAGGATTATCAGAACCCAAGATGGAATTGTCTTGTCAATCTCATTATGTAGAAAAAGTGCTAAAGAAAATTTGATGCCTATGACGGTGCACAGTCTAGGCATATGTGTAAGACACCCCTTGATCTCAGTATAAATCTGGTGGTCAATAAAGGTCAACCAGTGGCTCAGTTGGAATATTCACGGATAATAGGGAGTTTGATGTACTTGACAAATTGTACACGACCAGACCTGGCCTATCCGGTGAATAAGTTGAGCAGATTTACGAGCAATCCCAGTCATGATCACTGGAATGCTTTGAGAAGGGTACTTAAGTACTTGAGGTACACCCTTGAATACGGGATAAAATACTCAAGATATCCAGCAGTACATGAAGGGTACTGTGATGCAAGGTGGATATCAGATTTGAGAGATTCTCACTCCACTAGCAGATATGTTTTCTGTATTGGAGGAGGTGCAGTTTTGTGGAAATCCATAAAACAAACGTATATAGCTCGGTCAACGATGGAATCGGAGTTCATCGCTTTAGATAAAGCTGGTGAAGAAGCCGAGTGGCTTAGAAATTTTTTATCCGATATTCCATGTTGGGATAAGACTTTGCCGCCTGTGATGATTCACTGTGATAGCCAAGCTGCTATAGGTAGGGCACAAAGCAACTTGTATAACGGTAAGTCTAGACATATTTGTCGTAGACATAATACCGTACGTCAATTGATCACAAATGGTATTATTTCCATTGACTATGTGAAGTCTAAGGAAATTTGGCTGATCCTTTGACGAAAGGATTGAATAGAGATCAATTGACAGTTTTGCTAGAGGGAATGAGCTAAAAATTCCACAATGTAAAGAATGATCATAGTGGTAACCCTATTATGCTGAGTGGAGATCCCACGAACATGGTTCAAAGGGAAAACTAAGCTATGAAAATTCAGTTGAGCACTTGGAACAAATGCATGTCCAAAGCTATTCCCTAAAGCACCCAAGTGCAAGATGACCTGTTGATTGTGGTAAGGGTAAGTCATGTGGACTTTTAATGAATCCCTAACCTTGTAAAGGTGGAGTAAGACAAAATACTTTTGATAGGGAGGTCACATATACAAGTGTGAAGTGTGGGCCGCTTCAATTGTAAACACTTATGAATCCATTGTGTTGTCCATGGCCAAAATGGACACAACGATAGAACGAAATGGAGTTAAAACTCTATTGTGTGAATGTCATTGTCTCGGTGTACACTATGGAGGAATAGTTCAAGGCATTATGTCCACTAGGCCGCCAGTGCATCCGATGATGTTTACTAAGAAAGGTTCAAAGCCAAAAACTACCTTCTCTGATGCAATAGAGTTTTGTGAGGATTGGGCACAAGAGTCTGTATATATTATATTACTTTACTTTCTCTTTTGTGGGGGATTGTTAGGAAAAGAGAAAGAAAATGGGTGAATCCCCACTTGCCTACCACCCATTTGCACAATTGGAGGAAAATATACCATTGTCTGTACAATCATGTGCTCACTTGCCTTGCCAGCCATCCCACTATCCCACTATCTATTAAAAAAATATACATTTTTTATTTCATTCCTTTACCCTATAAAAGGACGTTCGGGCAAGAAGAGAAAATGCACCAAAAATTCAGAGAACAAGAGAGAAATTACACGGGGAATCCTATTGGGTATCCCCCGATTTAAATTCACCTTGACATGTTCTTGAAGAAACTTTGGTTCAGTCATAGTCAGATATATGTAGTTGTTATAGTCAGAGGATATCACATATTAACTTATTCTTGAAGAAACCGTGGTTCAGTCATATAGTCAGATCTGTAATTGTTATGGTCAGAGGATATCGCATATTGATTTTTGTTTCGGTCATAGTCAGTTATATGTAGTTGAAGTGTACCAAGAGAAATACTATAGCTACATAATATTGTACATAACATTCATATTGAGAGGGACCAATAAAAAATAAAAGAGTAATTACCCAAGAGCGCTTGAATGAGATGACTTGAGTCTCTTCCAGCTTAACCAGTGGTCTCGTGTTCGAGCCCTGGGAATGCAGCAGTGTTAAAACTCTTGAGGGAGAGCTTTGCCGCCCTTGTGGTCCTACCCGGCTCGATTCCGGATTAGTCGGTTCAGCTGTGGATCCGGAAACCAGAAGGTCCTTGTACCAAAAAAAAAAAAGAGTAATTAAGTGGACCACACTCTTATGTTATGTTACTATAATAACATGATTCAATCTTTAAAAAACAATCAAGAACAACCGACGCCCAGATCGGGAAAAGTAAGAGAAAATCTTTTTATGTGTTTTTGTTTTGTTATGTGTTTTAGGTCTGGGCCGTTGGCCCCTGTGAGCCGTCTGCGTACTGTTGTTTCCTCGTTTGGGGTCGTTTCACATTACCTCGTTTGGGGTCGTTCCATATCACCCCGCTGGGGTCGTTTTAATTTTTGTCAATGTCGCTGGTTCTTGTGTTGGTGTTTGAGTCGTCCTTCTAGCCTTGCTAGCGATTCTAGGCGGACCTCGGTCTAGCCTCCAAGTTTGTATTTTCGTACATTTGTGCGCTTATCTATAGTACTCCTATCGTTTCGACCAAAAAAAAAGAAAATCAAATCAAAAGGAGAAAATAGCAAAAGCCCCCGGCGAGGATCGAACTCGCGACCTTTCGCTTACGAAGCGAACGCACTACCACTATGCTACGGAGGCAGGTACAAATTCTCAGTACATCTTATCAACAAATACATGAACATCACAAAATCCCCAAATTCATTATTAAGCCCCAAATCTGCCTCAAGATTCTAGGGTTTTGAGAATTTGAGGGAGCGAAGATGTGTGGGATAGCGTTGATTGTATCTGGAATTGATGTTGATTTATCTTGTTTATTCCCCAACTTCGATTGCCCATCTCCACTGTCTCCTTCACAGACGGTAATAATTCCTACACATGTCTACTATTTACTTGTCTTTCTGTTCTTTTAAAGGTTGGGAGTAGTTTGAAATTTCTCCAGTAATTTTATTATGAAGTTCTCACCTACTATGTGCTTTAAATGTACAGTCGCTATTCTCAGAGGAGGACATAAGGGCGGCCCTGCAAAGAAGGGGCCCTGATAGTTTAGGAACTCATACCGTCAATGTCTGTTCAAATTTTTTCAACGGTCAGCAGAAACATTTCTTGGTCCAGTCTATTGCTCAAAAAGAATTTGAAGGGGCGACAGAAAATGGCCGTGAAAATAATTTGCAGGGGAAGTTGCGATTTATTGGCGCAACACTGCAACTTAGAGGAGATAGTCCAGTTTCTCAGCCTGTGACCGATGCATTCGGCAATGTTCTTGTTTATAATGGTACACTTGAAATTCATTTATTTGAATATGTTGATGATTTATGTGGTGAAATTTATGTCTTGCCGTGTTCGAAGCGTGAATGCTCGAGTTGGTTGCTGATTGTTTTGCCTAATTGTTATTTTGAACAACGGAGATTTATTGGGAAAAATTATTTTGTGGTGCATTGTGCATCATACTTTTTTCATGATAGGGAATAGAATTCCAGTTCAGTCGTCAACCCATCATGGGGTATACAATGGGGATACTTCCTGTTCTTTACTGCTTGACGGATATTTTCTAATAAATATTGGATCGGATAAGATGAGGCTAATTGGTTATGGATATGCCATAAAAAAAAATTAAGCTTTTTGTGATTAGTTGTTCTCCGTAATTGTTCTCTCTCTTTTTTCTTGGATATCTAACTGTCCAGCTTTGCATCTGCTATTTGAATGTTTTTTTCCTTTTGTTGGTAGCCTTTGATTTTTTTTTTGGGGATCTTCATGGTATTCGTGATCAAGTGTTGAGGGTTTGCATTGTTGCATTTTTATCTTGCTGTCTTCAAAGGGGCACTGTTGAATTTTAAGTTTTCGGAAATTTCTTTTCTCTGTTTATCTCACCTGCTGAAATTTATCTTGTTTATCAGTTAAGTGTGGTACTTTATTTTCTTTGTCAGGTGAAATATATGGAGGGATTCATATTGGTAGTGACAGCAGTGACACGCAGGTCCTCATGAAGTCTCTGGGACAGTGTTGCTCATGTACTTACCATGGAGAGAGAAAGCTTTCTACCTGTTCCGGAGAAAATAATAAAACTGTTCCAGAACTTTTATCAAGTATCAAGGGTCCATGGGCTTTGATTTATTGGCAGGTAACAATGTGTTGTGGTAAGTTTCTTCTACGATTCCTTAAAATGCAAAAAGTTACGAGTTTATTGCCTTTTTATAATTAGCTGCTTTGACTTGTTTGATGCATGCAGGATAGCACAAAAACATTGTGGTTTGGCCGAGATGCATTTGGAAGGCGAAGTCTTCTTGTTCATTGGCCAACACACCTTGATCCTCGGCTACTGCTGTCCTCTGTGTCTCCACTTTCTTCAATCCTTCAGCATTTTGGTACATATACTCATTTCTTGATATTTTTTGGTCATACATGTCTCATTTCTGACTGAAGATGTATATAGGGGAGCAAAAAAAATTGTTTTCACTCGATTTTTGTATGTTCTGTCCTTAGTCTAATTTGGACTAGGGACACTTCGTGCTGACTCAATCCTTGGAACTCTACCAGATATTGATGATGAGAAAGGGAAAGTTGAAGTGAATTTCTGGGACGAGTTGCCGTGTGGTGTTTATAGCATCTCAATGTCTCCCATGAAACCTGATGGACATGTTATCGGGAAAGTCAAAAAACACGAGTGGACTGATTCAGGTCTAAAAGATTTGGTGACATGGGAGAGAACTTGCATCCAACCTAAATCCAAGAGTTTAAATGCTACTAGCTTCAGAAATGCACAGACCATGGAAGAAAGCACATTTTCAGATTTCGAATTTGAATTAGGTCAGTATCAGGCTTGGTGGTTGGGAGTTGGGTGGACTAAAACCCATTGCAGGCCTTGATTTTTTTTTATTCTTTTTTAGTTTTATTTTCTCCACTCCAGTTCTGTATGGTTAATTCTATTTTGACTTGTCTGTCTTTTCTTGTTTTCGTCAATCTCACTAACTCATATAGTAACATCTACAAGGATATGAACTTATACATTGCACTGCATTTTTCATTTATAATTGCTGCAGAGTCTGTAAAAAGTACACTTTTGGCCCCATCTCATAAAGTGATGATGGCTCTGAGAGAATCCATAATGCGGCGAACCACTTTAAATAGAGTCTACAAGGTTCATTCATTTCCTCAATGTCCTTGATTTTTTTACTTCAGTCCTATATTGCTTAGTGTTTAAACTTCAATCCTGCCTTGAAAAGATGGATAGGGGTTATGAGAACATTAGTATTATACTGACAAAATCTTTTACTCAGGACTTTCTTAAGAGGCATAGAAAAGAAAGACATGCTCCTATAGCGGTGCTTTTTTCTGGAGGTTTAGATTCTATGATCATAGCTGCATTGCTGCATCAGTGTGTTGATTCTGAATGTAAGCACACTTTCGAGTTACTTTTATTTCTCCTTGGATTTTCCATGTTAAGATAATCATCTTCATACATGTGATTTTGCTTACTCTGTTAGATTCTTTGAGTATAATAATTAATATATATTCTATTCCATGGTTACCCTGATACTTCTTGGGTCAAATTTTCCCCCCTAATTACACATTGCTGTCTTCTGAGAAATAATAATAAAATAAACATCATTACAGATGACGTTGATTTGCTTAACGTCAGCTTTGATGGAGATTCAGCTCCTGATAGAGTTTCAGGGAGGGCTGGATTGAAGGAACTCCAGAAAATTGCACCGTCAAGGAGGTTTGGCTCTACTTGAAAAATGAATAGCTAAGATGTTAATTTTGGTGTATTTGGTTATATTGCCTCTAGTTAAAACGTGAATTGTGTTAAGATGTTAGTTTTGGTGTATTAGGTTTTACATTTGCATGAGACCTCGAGGGACCAATTGGTTTGTAAGATATCCCCTATTTTGGTTTGTAGATTCAGATCTAACCGTTGCAAGTTTCACAGAAGAGAGAGAACCGAAATGGGTTCAAGTTTCTGAGTCATTTGATATATAAGCCCTAAATATTATTTATTTATTTTTTTTAGTTGACTCGCCTTTGAGTTTCTTGTGAAAGGATGTATATACTTATATGTTACTCGACTTTTGAACAGGTGGAACCTTATTGAAATTGATGCTGATTTACTGAAGTTGACCTCTGAAACAAAACATGTCATGGCACTTATAAATCCTTCTAAAACCTACATGGTATTTGTTTCTTTCGTTATAGGTATATTTTGGTATTTTCTTTTTAATGATTCCCCTATTCATTAAGATTCTGCCAATATGCATATGCTAATTGTTCCAACTTATATATGCATCAGTAGCTTTCGTACTAGCAATACTACGATCTTCATTATTGTTTATTTTTGGTTTCTTGATAGTGCATTTGAGTTGGAAGTATTGCCATGCATATTATCTGTATAAGATAATAACATCAATTATCAAAGGAATAGATGCCCAACTCTATTAATTGGCATCGGGACTGCAATCTGTAAACATCTCTTATTTCTCTTTACCTCTGAATTTTTTCAGGACCTAAATATAGGCATAGCATTATGGCTAGCTGCTGGAGGAGATGGTTGGCTTTATCATGCCGAGTGCGAACGTGTCAAGTACAAGTCCACAGCCAGGATTCTCCTGGTGGGTTCTGGTGCCGATGAACAATGTGCAGGATATGGTCGACATAAGACAAAATTTAGAAATAAAAGGTGGTCTCTTATTGTAGTTAGTATATATTATCCAATATAAGCTCTACAAGATGCGTTTTTATATAATCTTGTATTATAATGTGATATTGTTATTTTCTTCGTTATTCTTTTTTTTTTTTTTCAAAAAAACAAAATACACATTCTAAATATCATGTTCTCAATGTGGTGCTTTAAAACATGCATGTTAAAGTTGGCTCGGGCTCCATGATGAAATGAAACTAGACATGCAAAGAATTTGGAAGAGGAACCTAGGGAGAGATGATAGGTGCCTAGCCGACAATGCAAAGGAGGTACTTCAAAAGCCCCGAGTATATGAATCATGCAAATATCTTATCCTGAGTGGTTGTAACTATATTAGTTATGCAAAAAAGAAAGAACGTTATACGTATCTTTTTTTTTTTTTTTTTTTTTTT